GCAGTTGTTGATACACGAGACCAAGTGGCGTGAGGTGGTAGGGATGGCCATTAGAACACGCTCCTTGAGCTTGAGAAGTCATCTCGAGGAGATTTTCGGAGATCCGGAGAGCGTGCGACTTCTACAGAAATCGCGCACGAAAGCGAAGAGATCAGGCTCGCGCGCCTGGGAACAAAACTAGACCGCCAGGCGGCGCGATCAATCGGCGCGCGAATTTAAAGCTGGAAACGGTGATTTCCCTCAGTTGGGGCTCGGTGGTCAGCAGAATTCCGCGGCTCCTTGTGAAGTTCCCCGGAATTCGGAGGGGGACTGTCACGGACGGAGGTATCCGTCGCGTCACCAGATTGCAGGAAACACACATCTCATCCAATCAGTACACCATACAATCAGCACATAACATTCACAGAGAGATCGAGTCGGGGACGGGTCACGGTGATTCTTATAGAAGTGTCAATATTGCGGACAATCCGCTATTCATGTCCAGGACAAGCAGTCCCATTATAATTTGTAATATCATGTCATCGAAGTCAATATATAAGTAAGGGGGTGCTCTCGCGCGTAGGTATGTCGATTAGCGCAGCGCTGGCCTCTCCAGCGCTGAGCGTCAGCTGCCTCGCGTCAGCTGTCCCTCAATCAGCTGGACGAGTGAAAGGAGGTGTCAACATCGTGGCGCCATCAGCAGCGACACAGCGGAAACGCAGAAGTCAGAGTTATCGCGATCAAGAAAAAGAGACAGCTTCAGCGCTCCTCCGAAATCCCAATTCCGGGTTCAAGTCCCGAGTGACCTTCAGTGATCAAATCGCGATCGGAGGTTCAATCCCTCCATCGCTGTCATCTCATCATCTCCAGGAGATCCTCCCTTCAATCGGAAATCTCTGGAAGATTGAATCGTTCCGCGCAGCGCACCCCACGTGAATTCTACGAGTTCAAATTCTTGTGTTTTCATTGAAAACTGCGGCTCAGAGCCGCAGCAGGGTAGTGTGTCCGTGACAAGTATCGACTGATAGAAGTCTTCCCGCTTCCTCGAATACATTAGGACGCTCTTCATGTTTGACACGAGCGAGTCGACAAGGGGACACTCGTCTCTTATGGTTTCGCAGACTAGGTGTAGGCCATGAGCCAAACACGTGATATGGGCAAAGTCCTTGTAGGAGAGTCGATATTCTCTCCCAATCGGAATAGCTTCGGATTCTTTGAGATCGACATGGCGACTCTGTTTACGATACCAGCCAGCGTTGCCGTGTCAGCCTAATCCACGAAGTCCGTGTCGTACAAAATAGGAGCTTCGGGTTTTTCGCTGAGGGGAAATACGATTGTATTCACAACTTTCCTTTTCCGGCAGTCTTGCGTTTCGTCTATATAGATCGCGTAAGGAAGCGAATCCGAGCGAGAAGCCATCTTCTCCTGAATCCGTTGGTAACCAAACAATAGATATTTCTCGGGATTCGTGGCGCACAGCACATGTTGATTGGAGAATTTCAGGAAGAATTCTTTGAAACGAGGCTAGCTCAAATTGTACAGCGGAATATTTTATGACGCGAAGAGGAGGAAAAGTTCGCACTTGAACAAATTAAGGTCCTCTCGTTCCATCGCTTTCAATGAGGTTGCGATTCCCGACTGACTCTTCGCAGCTTTCGCTGCCCTCTGATGCTTCGGCGTTTTGAGGTGGTCGGTGAGCCCAGTACTGCCCCTACGATATTTCACTTTTACGGTGGTTGAGCATTTCTTGCAGATGATGCTGTCACCATCGAGTTGAAAACACCGGTTCTCATTCTTCGCCAGCCAACCTTGAACTTGGAGCTTCAGTTTCCGATCCATGTCGAGCGCGTCACAAAATCACCTCGAACATAATCGGATCTCTCCTCTAGGCTTCACTTCTCGCCGTCGACCAACCATCGACGTTTATTTAAACTGCTTGTCCTTATTTGGGGACGCGCAGGCGCCGCATACCCGAGCGGCAATCGATAAGTCCGCGTATCGATCACAATATTGATGGACAGTTGCGCGCTTGTCTCTCTGACGCTCGCGGCACAAATATTCTGTGAAGCTTCCCCTACCTCGAGTTCGATGTCAATTGATCGTGAGCTTCCCCGATCGGCCGTTCGGGGAACGGTAAAATTCGAGACCTACACTCCGCTTTTGCTCTGGAGCGAAGACTGGACTCAGATAGTTGAGAGGCTCTCACTCCCAACTGAGCTCGCCTGATCCAGAGATTGACGGAAATTCCACTGTTTCAAAAGGGAAGACCGTGAAACCGGACATTAATGCCGAAACCGCGGAAAGGGGGACGAACGGACAGGAATCGGGCATGTCCGGCTAAATGGAAGCTCTATTAATTATACTGCCATTCATCCCAAATCTATCAGAACTCACGGCTCCACTCCGAGAAATCATAGGGAAAGACTCCGAGTCCAATTGGTTGGAAAGCCAACAGAAGGCATTCAACAAAATCAAGGAAATGCTGAGCAGCACGCCGGTGCGGTTTTTTTTTCGATGCCGGAAAGGAAGTGATTATACAAACCGATGCTTCAGACAGAAGGATCGGTGCAGTTCTGCTGCAAGGAGGGAGGCCGGTTGCTTTCCATTCGCATACCCTGAACCCCACTGAGCAGGGGTACGCAGCCATTGAGAAAGAGCGTCTGGCCATTGTTTCAGCGTGTGACAAATCCGATCATTTGATTTACGGCAAACCGAATGTTACAATCCAGGCAGATCATAAACCGCTCGTGAGGATCTTCGAGAAAACTCTTGATGGCTGTCCGAAGAGATTACAAAGGATGCGACTCACGTTGCAGAGATACTCTCTCCGACTTGAATACATCCCGGGTACAAAAAACTTCGTGGCTGACACCTTATCGAGAGCCCCGTTGGGCGACGGACCAGGAAATGGTCGGGAGTAAGCTTTCCGCATTGATCTCCAGAGTATCAGGACCTGTTGGGACTCCAGGATTACGGATCGCGTCCTCGATCAAATAAGGGAGCACACGCGGGAGGACCGTGTCGCTTAGAAACTCATAGAGGCGATCAAGGGTGGATCGCAGAGCCGAGATCCGGATCTCAGCCCATCCAAGAAACTCATGGACGATCTCCACGTGGAAGATGGTCTTCAAGGGACCCGCATGCTACATACCGCAGACGCTACGCGCGGAGATGCTGGAAAGATGGCATTGGACTCATCTGGCGACGGAGGCCATGCTACGACGGGCCCGTGGTACAATATTTTTGCCGGGGATCAGCAATGATCTGCGAAATGTGGCGGAGTCTTGCCGAGCTTGCCAGACATACGCTATCCGGCAGACTCGACAGCCGTTGATTGGGGGAGTATAACGGTCCGGGGGGTGTTGTGGGGATACTCGGAAAAGGGAGAAGTCGGTCTGGTACACTCTCTAGTTTATTCTCTTGGCAGCCTGCTGCCTGGGCCTCGACCGATCGAGGAGCCCACCACTAGCACGACCGGCGCCTACGCCAGTCAGAACAAGACTCTCTCTATGTGCACGTTCGCTACATCTCCCGTGCACCTTGATCTAACGTGCCCATACGACATCTCTGCGTCTGACACTCGACCACTGCTACCAATTTGATCTCCTGATCAACCTAACAATTTCTGGTGCCTGGGTGCTTAAAAATCTATATGGCCTCACCTATCACAGCGATAGACCTGCCTAACTATGAAATGACTAAGCGCGGTGTAGTACAGCCTGCATATATTTCATTATATATTATAATAAATAATTCTTTTTTTCTTCGGGCCTATGCCCCTGGTTCCTCCATGGGTGTGTTGACCCCTCCCGGTCGGGGCAGAAATCCTGTCGGCAGCTCGACCGCGGCCTCTGTCCCGTACACCGGGACCGACATTCTCGGATTGATGACCGACCTGCACATCGGACAACAATTTCCGTTGGGGTTGACTATCGTCCAACGGTACAGGCAAGGCCAACACATCGCCATCGCCAACACCTTGCGGTTCCGCCTGAACCTGCACGTTGACCTGGACGCTGACGCCCACGCCTGCATCCTCTGCCTCCATGAGCGCTCGGAGAGCAGCGACTACTTCTGCCCTGCCAGTCGGGCCTGATGACGCTTGAGGTCTCTCCTCTGGGCCCGGTCTTCTCGGCCCTTCGTACGACACACAGCTCCTCATGAAGTGGCCCAGTTGGCCACACAGCGTGAAAGTCGCTGCACGCGCTCTGCATCTTGCCGATCCCGTCGGATGACGATTATCGCCGCAGTTTCCACACGCTGCGCTGGTCGAGCCTCCATGATGAGATAGGAAGAGATGGGATGAGTACCTGAAGTTCGTGGTTGTACCGTTGATCGACAGCGAGCGAATGACTCTTCCGTCGCCGTCGCTGCAGTGCTTCTTCCGTCAGTTGTCATCCAGCCGCTCGTGAAAACGCCCAAGGCTCTGGCCGCAGCTAAGCCATCGAACTTTCGTGTGGTACAGCAGCTCCTTCCGATTTGCTCCATCTTCTCCGAGGAGTTTGCGGAATTCGCGGTGGTTCAATCCACGAGCTTTAATGAAATTTATGATCTTCACGACGATTCCCAGGACGTGGTGCATCTTGATGACCTTGGTGCAAAGCGATTCTTGGTGTATAATACAATGTATTTGGATGAAACGATCACGGTTCTCGTGTTTGCTTCTGATATGTTCCCACAAGCGCACTGCGACGCCGTTCTGCCTACCAACCATCGCCGGAGCGCCATCTGAAGCGAAGGCAGATAACTTGCTGAGCGGCAGGGAAAAATGTTCGATTGAGCGTATCAACTGATCGAATATCGCAGCTGAATCCGTTCTGCCGTCCGTCGGAACCACATCGAGGAGCTCTTCCACGACGGTCAGATCTGCTTTCACTCCGCGAACGAAGATCGCAAGCTGCGCAGTGTCACAAATGTCGTTCGATTCGTCGATAGCTAGTGAGAAAGCCTCGAATTTCCCGCATTGATCTCTAAGAACGGAGATCAAGTCGTCCCCGATTTCTGTGATTCGATCAGCGACGGTGTTTCTTGACAAGCATATATTCCGGAATTTTTGCATCTGATCGGGACATATGATGGATCATGCTGATAGAAGGCAGTCCTTAATGAGTTACCCATCCGAGAATGCTTTCGAATGCTTCGCTATCAACTGTGATATAACGAAACTTGCTTCCACTGCATCTTCGATATCGTTCCTCGCCTCGGCGAAGTACTGTTGCTGTCTCTTCGACGAGTTCTTGAGTTTCTCTATCTTCTCATCCCTGAGTTTGCCCTCCAGGGCCATCAGCGATTGGTGGGTAGTTTCATAATGACGCTTTGCATTGTACTCTTTGAGAACTGCGATCACCGCGTGACACACAAGACACGTGAGTTTATCTCCGTTCATCACCACGGAATAAGAGTTTTCCCAAAGCGGCTTATAGACTCTGTTGGGCTGACTGGCCCTGCTTTTCCTGATTGGCAGCATATCGGAATAGTCCGGAGTAACTCCGAGCTTTTCGAAGCTCAATGGCCGTGAGAACACAACCGGACGACGACGGACCGATCATTCGAGCAACTCTGCCAGGATTCATCTGCGAGCGCGGAATCGTCAGCTGATTCGCGCTCTACACGCGACATGTACATTCAACAAGACGACGTTTCGCCTTGCACGCCCGACAATGAAGTCCCAAGCGAGGATAGATTAAGATTGCAAGACTCTTCGCCTCCACTCTCAAATGCGGTCGCAGCCATGCACTTGCACCGACTCCGCTGACAGAATCAGCATACATACACATATGCTTATCGACCATGCGGTTTAATCCTTCGGCGGATCGAGGGAGAACTTGTCCTTACGGTCTAGCGGGGGGATTCGTTTCACCGGTCTCATTCGATTTAGATGCTCTCATCCGCGGCAGTCAGCTTCGAGTATGTGGGAAGATAGTGGCGGGCCACGAGAAAAGACCTCGCGGGCCACGGATTTGACACCCCTGCCCTAGGGGTTCCGTAGGGGTTCCGCAGGTAGACTTTGGGGTTCCGCGCAATCCGCCACGGAACCCTTGGGTTCCGTGGGACCCCGGTTGGGAACCTCTGGTTTAACCGACCCGCTCGGTCTCGCTACCTATATGTCGTCCTCGACATCACTGAGAATATTTTCCCTGGAAACGAGTAATTCTCCTCGGACGCTGCCTAGCCTGACTAGAGCCTGCCTCTGATAATTCTGATATACCTGGAGGTTCCATTATCGTCGTGTTGAAATCTGTTATTGGCCTTCTACCTCTTCCTAACAAGCCTGAATACCTGGCTCGATTCACATTGATTTGAATCTCCGCCGACGATCCTGATGACGATGATGTTTCTATCGGTGATGATGCCTCTTCGCTTCGAGTGCTTGAGCCTTCCTTGAGCCTAGTTGATTCCGCGATCATATTCGGATCTTCCACTCCTTCCGATTCTTGGTCTATGGTTTCTTCGATATCTTGATCCTGATCCGTTCCCTCGATGATTGCCTGCTGCGAATCGACGAATTCTGGCTCGTCTTCCTCAAACGTATCGTCGAACGGGATCGCATCTTCCTCGTCTTCGCTGTTCACTCTGTAGTATCTGAGCTGTGAACAATGCGCCGTACAAGTGTACCTTTTGTCACTTAGCTGGACTAGCCTATAGGTATCCCTAGGGAGAATTCGCTTACTATCGTCGGTCCTCTAAACTTAGCCTGAAGCTTGGTTGGTTCACCGGTGTGGACGGGTAATCGACTCACGGCAACGATATCTCCTATCGCTAGCCTGACGAAATGAGGCCTGCGTTTCTGATCGTAACAACACGCACATCTGTTCTGAGCCTTCTTGCGATTTTCGACTATCTACTCCTGAACCTCCGCTGCAGGAGTCCATACCCTATCCTGAACCCCTCGACCAATTGGGAATGATCATATATATTTATTACTAGCGCTCCCGGTCGCCGCGCGCGCGTGGTCTTGGTGAGCGTCCCGTTCCCCTGCTTTCCCGTTCCCCTGCTTTCCCGTTTCCCCGCTTTCCCGTTTCCCCGCTTTCCCGTTTCCCCGCTTTCCCGTTTCCCCGCTTTCCCGTTTCCCCGCTTTCCCGTTTCCCCGCTTTCCCGTTTCCCCACTTTCCCGTACCCCCGCCTTTATTCCATATGTTCTTCGGAAAATCTATACCCTTCACGGCTACAGCAATTTTCGGCGAGATTCATTAGTAGGAAGACAGAGGCCAATGATGACGGCAACCCCCGATAGCCCGGGAACCTATCCCTTTTTCACGACGATCGGTTCAGCCGTTTTCGAGTCTGTAGGAGACACCCGACAAACGGACAGACAGACAGACGTTTTTATATGTATAGATTCTAGTAACGTTACAGACAGAATAAACTGCTGAGGAACATAGCCAGCTGAAACTCTCTAATCGAGTAATCTAATCTCTGAGAATTCGTTATCATCATCATGGACATCATTAGGGTGCGTCACTTCATGCACTAAAAAACCCGGAAAAATGCATGCAGATATGCACTAAAAACGGGCAAAATATGCAGACAAAATGGGGAAATATGCACTGGAGAAATCGATCATTGGGCATAGGAAGAGTCGTAATTCAGACGTTCAACAACAATGCATTGTGAATTTTATTCTGAAGGAGCTTAAATTATGGGTTGCAGAATATTACGAGGTGCATTTTCAGGTTTTCAAACGAGAAGCCCTGCCGGCGGTCGCTGAGAATGTACTTTAGACGGGAAAAACTTCGTTCGACGTCCACAGAAGTTATGGGAGCGAATTTCAAGGAGCAAATTTCTGAGGGCTCCAAACCATCTGGAACCCGTGCAGATGACCCTTCTCGTAGCACTTCCGCAACCGCCTCCAATTGACTGAGGCCTTCGTTTCGAGACACGACGAAATCGCATTTTTCGCTAATACGTTTCCCGATCGAGCCCGGCATTCCCTTGAGTCTTGTG